ATCCTTGGTATTTGGAAGCATGGACTATGTCACTGATAAACGGGGTTGTATTGTTCTGCTACACAGGGTAGAAACTGGATCACGATAAGCATGATGTTAGCAACACCTGATACATCGAACACAGTGGGATCTTAAACACCTTTTGCTGTCGTCCACTTTAACATTATAAGCAAATCTTTTAAAAAAATATTTAAAAGTTATCAGGTGAATACAAATGTAATTGTCTTTGCCTTTCTGTCAAAACATATATGTTAGACTAATAAGAACACTTGTTGTGGGGATAAGGCGGGAACCTCGCCAAAGAAGTATGGCTTCTCCTCATAGTGAGTGAGTGAGTGAGTGAGTGAGTGAGTGAGTGAGTGAGTGAGGAGGTGGGTGTATGGGCTAGCGAGTGAGTGAAACGCCGTTTTCAATGGCATTTCAGTTATTTCGTGCCATGCAAACTTTGGTAATAAATGCAATCTCATCCTCGTGTTCTCTGATATCAAATATATCAATACTCGCATAGAGTTTTAACCTTGTGTCGACTTGTGTTGATATATTTATATATTTATATTGGTGTCCCCCGCCGTGATGGTGCTGGAATATTGCTGTAAGCGGCGTTAAAACATTCTCACTTACACACAGCCGGACATTACCCCGCATCCTTGGTATTTGGAAGCATGGACTATGTCACTGATAAACGGGGTTGTATTGTTCTGCTACACAGGGTAGAAACTGGATCACGATAAGCATGATGTTAGCAACACCTGATACATCGAACACAGTGGGATCTTAAACACCTTTTGCTGTCGTCCACTTTAACATTATAAGCAAATCTTTTAAAAAAATATTTAAAAGTTATCAGGTGAATACAAATGTAATTGTCTTTGCCTTTCTGTCAAAACATATATGTTAGACTAATAAGAACACTTGTTGTGGGGATAAGGCGGGAACCTCGCCAAAGAAGTATGGCTTCTCCTCATAGTGAGTGAGTGAGTGAGTGAGTGAGTGAGTGAGTGAGTGAGTGAGGAGGTGGGTGTATGGGCGAGCGAGTGAGTGAAACGCCGTTTTCAATGGCATTTCAGTTATTTCGTGCCATGCAAACTTTGGTAATAAATGCAATCTCATCCTCGTGTTCTCTGATATCAAATATATCAATACTCGCATAGCGTTTTAACCTTGTGTCGACTTGTGTTGATATATTTCATATCAAAAGACGTTCGTCTTAGATTCTCTGTATAACGTAAACAGTACATGGCTTCGCATGTATTGTCAGCCACTGCATACACTTGAAAACTAGATTTGGACATAACATTACAAACGTCATCAATACGTTACAAGGCTGAAAACAGTCGGCGAAACACTGCAAACCTAAGATCCGAAACACAACTGTGATACTCGTATCGACGGAAGCCTTTAAGGGCCATTTGTTTGTTAAAAAGAAAATCGATACTATCTTGAAATTTCAACTTAGTATCTTGAAATTTTAACTTAGTTTATGAAATTTTAAGTTAGTACCTTGAAATTTCAAAGATACTATCTTTAAATTTCAACTTAGTATCTTGAAATTTGATGATATTATCTTGAAATTTTAACTTAGTATTTTGAAATTTCATGATAGTATCTTGAAATTTCAACTTAGTATCTTGAAATCTCAAGATCATTATATTGAAATTTCAACTGCTGTATCTTGAAATTTCAAGATAGTATAGGAAAAAATAACAAACGGCCCTAAATTAGTATTTTGAAATTTGATGATAGTATCTTGAAATCTCAAGATCATTATATTGAAATTTCAACTTCTGTATTTTGTAATTTCAAGATAGTATCGAAAAAAATAAAATTACAAACGGCACTAAAAGGCTTCCGTACGTATCAAATACATCACCATCGAATAACCATTTCTTGTTTGTTTCATCCACATCCACTTTCAAAACTTGGACGTATAATTTATTATCCCCGGCAGTTTTACAGCTTCTCTGACCTTTGCACTGGGCTACTCGAACAATCTGCCCTAGTGACGTCACGTGATACTTATTTATAAATCGGAAACTGTGATATGCATTATCTCCGTACATGTTGCAACATACCACGTGGGAAAAGTCACGTGTTGCATTATTTCCCCCGCTCCAACTACGATTGTTGTTGAAGACATGAAAGACATGACGAGCTTAACAATCTTGACGGTTCTGCTGTTAGGTAAGTGTAATGTATGTTGATACCTATACAGTGGGACCTCGTCAGTTCGGACACCATTATTCTACGCAGGCCACCTTTGGAGAATACTGTTGTTGTCGTTTTTGTATACATAGATGAACGCGAGTGTAGAGTCCATTTTTGGTGTCCCCCGCCGTGATGGTGCTGGAATATTGCTGTAAGCGCGTTAAAGCATTTTCACTTACACACAGCCGGACATTACTCCGCATCCTTGGTATTTGGAGCATGGACTATGTCACTGATAAACGAGGTCGTATTGTTCTGCTACACAGGGTAGAAACTGGATCACGATAAGCATGATGTTAGCAACGCCTGATACATCGAACACAGTGGGATCTTAAACACCTTTTGCTGTCGTCCACTTTAACATTATAAGCAGATCTTTTAAAAAATATTTAAAAGTTATCAGGTGAATACAAATGAAATTGTCTTTGCCTTTCTGTCAAAACATATATTTTAGACTAATAAGAACACTTGTTGTGGGGATAAGGCGGGAACCTCCCCAAAGAAGTATGGCTTCTCCTCATAGTGAGTGAGTGAGTGGGTGAGTGGCTAGGCGAGCGTTAGGGTGGGTGGGTGTTTGGGCGAGCGAGTGAGTGAGTGAGTGAGTGAGTATGGTTTTACGCCGCTTTCAGCAATATTCCAGCAATATCATGGCGGGGGACACCAGAAATGGGCTTCACACATTGTACCCATGTCGGGAATCGAACCCGGGTCTTCGGCGTGACGAGCGAACGCTTTAACCACTAGGCTACCCGACCGCCCTCGAGTGAGTGAAACGCCGTTTTCAATGGCATTTCAGTATTTCGTGCCATGCAAACTTTGGTGATAAATGCAATCTATTCCTCGTGTTCTCTGATATCAAATATATCAATACTCGCATAGAGTTTTAACCTTGTGTCGACTTGTGTTGATATATTTCATATCAAAAGACGTTCGCCTTCGATTCTCTGTATAGCAAACAGTACATGGTCCGAAACACAGCTGTGATACTCGTATCGACGGAAGCCTTTTAGGGCCATTTGTTTGTTAAAAAGAAATTCGATACTATCTTGACATTTCAACTTAGTATCTTGAAATTTCAACTTAGTATCTTGAAATTTGATGATATTATCTTGAAATTTTCCCTCATTTTTTTGAAATTTCAACTTATTATCTTGAAATTTGATGATAGTATCTTGAAATTTCAACTGAGTATCTTGAAATCTCAAGGTCATTATCTTGAAATTTCAACTTCTGTATCTTGAAATTTCAAGATAGTATCGGAAAAAATAACAAACGGCCCTAAAAGGCTTCCGTACGCATCAAATACATCACCATCGATTAACCATTTCTTGTTTGTTTCATTCATATCCACATTCAAAACTTGGACGAATACTTTATTTTCCCCGGCAGTTTTACAGCTTCTCTGACTCGAACAATCTGCCCTAGTGACGTCACTTAATACTTATTTATAAATCGGAAATTGTGACATGCATTATCTCCGTACATGTTGCAACATACCACGTGGGAAAAGTCACGTGTTGCATTATTTCCCCCGCTCCAACTACGACTGTTAATCAAGACATGAAAGACATGACGAGCTTAACAATCTTGACGGTTCTGCTGTTAGGTAAGTGTAATGTATGTTGATACCTATACAGTGGGACCTCGTCAGTTCGGACACCTTTATTCTACGCAGGCCACCTTTGGAGAATACTGTTGTGGTCGTTTTTGTATACATACGAACGTTATAAACGTCATCAAAACGTTACAAGGCTGAAAACAGTCGGCGAAACACTGCAAACCTAAGGTCCGAAACACAACTGTGATACTCGTATCGACGGAAGCCTTTTAGGGCCATTTGTTTGTTAAAAAAAACCCGATACTATCTTGAAATTTCAAGATACTAAGTTGAAATTTCAAGATACTATCTTGAAGTAAGACGAGTTCTATGGATGAACAACTTCTTTATTACAATTAGAGCGACGGTTCGGTGTAGATCCTAACACCTTCATCAAGCAAGTGTTAGGTGTTAGGATCTACACCAAAACGTTGCACTAATTGTAATAAAGAAGTTGTTCATCCATAGAACTCGTCTTACTTCATCACACCAACTTCTGAATGCCACTGAAAGAAGTTACCTTCTTGAAATTTCAACTTAGTATTTTGAAATTTCAACTTATTATCTTGAAATTTCAACTTCTGTATCTTGAAATTTGATGATAGTATCTTGAAATTTCGACTTAGTATCTTGAAATCTCAAGATTATTATATTGAAATTTCAACTTCTGTATCTTGAAATTTCAACTTAGTATCTTGAAATTTCAACTTCTGTATCTTGAAACCTCAAGATCATAATCTTGAAATTTCAACTTCTGTATCTTGAAATTTCAACTTAGTGTTTGGAAATTTCAACTTAGTATCTTGAAATTTCAACTTAGTATCTTGAAATCCCAAGATCATTATATTGAAATTTCAACTTCTGTATCTTGAAATTTCAAGATAGTATCGAAAAAACTGAAATAACAAACGGCCCTAAAAGGCTTCCGTACGTATCAAATACATCACCATCGAATAACCATTTCTTGTTTGTTTCATTCATATCCACTTTCAAAACTTGGACGTATAATTTATTTTCCCCGGCAGTTTTACAGCTTCTCTGACCTTTGCACTGGGCTACTCGAACAATCTGCCCACGTGACGTCACTGAATACTTATTTATAAATCGGAAATTGTGACATGCATTATCTCCGTACATGTTGCAATATACCACGTGGCTAAAATCACGTGTTGCATCATTTCCCCCGCTCCAACTACGACTGTTAATCAAGACATGAAAGACATGGCGAGCTTAACAATCTTGACGGTTCTGCTGTTAGGTAAGTGTAATGTATGTTGATACCTATACAGTGGGACCTCGTCAGTTCGGACACCTCTATTCTGCGCAGGCCACCTTTGGAGAATACTGTTGTGGTCGTTTTTGTATACATAGATGAACGCGAGTGTGAAGCCCATTTTTGGTGTCCCCCGCCGTGATGGTGCTGGAATATTGCTGTAAGCGGCGTTAAAACATTCTCACTTACACACAACCGGACATTACCCCGCATCCTTGGTATTTGGAAGCATGGACTATGTCACTGATAAACGGGGTTGTATTATTCTGCTACACAGGGTAGAAACTGGATCACGATAAGCATGATGTTAGCAACACCTGATACATCGAGCACAGCGGGACCTTAAACACCTTTTGCTGTCAACTTTAACATTATAAGCAAATCTTTTAAAAAATATTTAAAAGTTATCAGGTGAATACAAATGAAATTGTCTTTGCCTTTCTGTCAAAACATATATATTTTAGGCTAATAACAACACTTGTTGTGGTGATAAGGCGGGAACCTCCCCAAAGAAGTATGGCTTCTCCTCATAGTGAGTGAGTGAGTGAGTGGGTGGGTGGGTGGGTGGATGTATGGGCGAGCGAGTGAGTGATACGCCGTTTTCAATGGCATTTCAGTTATTTCGTTCCATGCAAACTATGACTTACACACTGGGTGAGGTGAGCTGAAATGGGGTTTAACGTCGCGTCCGAGATTATTGAACTTTTATAGCGACGTGCATGCACGTGTGTGTGTGGAGCTGGGGCAAATGCCGATTTTAATCCTACTGAAATACCATACATCAGTTTAACATGAATACCCCACGAAGACACAGTATACCATGTGAATAAATGTGTTTCTCTATTCAGAGAATGATTGGGTTATTTATTTATTTGATTCGTCAACATATGTTTCACGTTGCTGTTAATTCATTTAAATCAGCTCAAATATCGTAAACTCCAGAGAGCATAAATCTTCTCAGTTGCAGGGTATGTCGGGGGTGACACCAGCTCCCCCTGCCCCACGGGACCAGGGTGGGTGACGGGGACGAACTACTGCTACTACTTCAACAACAAAGACACCGTGTCGTGGAGCGAGGCTACTCAGCAGTGTGACAAGAGGATGGCCAAGTTGTTGACACTAGACAGTGTAGCTGAGTTGGTAAGATATACCATGCTTTGATGAACCCTCAAACATATTGGAAATAGTATCTGTGTATCGGGTAGCATGTCCAAGATACCTGCACTTAACAATTATTGTCTCTATATAACAATACACCACAACGAGTACCCCCAAGGTAGTCAAACAAGTATCCCCAAGGTAGTCAAACAAGTACACCCAAGGTAATCAAACAACTACCCCAAAGGTAATCAAACAAGTATCCCCAAGGTAGTCAAACAAGTACCGCCAAGGTAGTCAAACAAGTACCCCAAAGAAAATCAAACAGGTATCCCCAAGGTAGTCAAACAAGTATCCCAAAGAAAGTTAAACAAGTACACCAAAGGTAGTCAAACATGTATCCCCAAGTTAGTCAAACAAGTACACCCAAGGTAGTCTAACCAGTAATCCCAAGGTAGTCAAACAAGTACACCCAAGGTAGTCAAACATGTATCCCCAAGTTAGTCAAACAAGTACACCCAAGGTAGTTAAACAAGTACCCCCAAAGTAGTCAAACAAGTACACCCAAGGTAGCCAAACAGGCACAACCAAGGTAGTCAAACAAGTATCCCTAAGGTAGTCAAACAAGTACACCCACGGTAGTCAAACATGTATCCCCAAAGGCAGTAAAAAGGATACTCCCATTGTAGTCAATCAAGTACCCCTAAGGTAGTCAAACAAGTATCCCCAGGAAAGTCAAACAAGTACACCCAAGGTAGTCTTACCAGTAATCCCAAGGTAGTCAAACAAGTACACCCAAGGTAATCAAACATGTATCCCCAAGGTAGTCAAACAAGTACACCCAAGGTAGTTAAACAAGTGTCCCCAAGAAAGTCAAACAAGAACACCCAAGGTAGTCAAACAAGTATCCCAAAGGTAGTCAAACAAGTATCACCAGAGTAGTTGAGAACATGTGGTTCCTGATCTAGAGGACAGCAGGTGTTCGTTAAGACATATATCATACAAGCCACCTCAGTGGTGTAGTGGATAGAGTGTCTGCTGGAGAGCCGAAAGTCGGTTGTTAAATCTACTGCGCTCAGCATATAGGGTAAAAACAAGTACTGGTCAGCTGGGAGTCAGAAAACGTGTCACAGTAGTTTATTCATGTTTAACTCCGTTGTGGAATCACCAATGGCCAGCACCATACGACTACTACAAGCAGCCACACACACACACGTGCATGCATGTCGCTATATGAGTGAAATAAACCACATTTCACCCCATCTCAATGTGGAGATTGTTATCACTATCAATATCTGTGTTGGCCTATAATTAGAATAGAACGATATGAATGTAGTAATGATTCAGTCGTATAGAAGATAACGGTTTCCATGGTAGAAGAGGTGAATGAATGAATACGCATTCAATTTCCATTTAAATGTTTAGAAAGCCTACCGGGTCAATCCAACACCTAGTTAGATCAGTACACCTAAGATCTACAACATTACACACACTGAAATAACACGCAATTGCGGGTACGCTTGTCATTGAGTACATAGGAAATGTCTTATTCAGGATTTGACCAAGAAAAACATGGCTAAATACCCGAGTGACACTGCTTACTGGACCTCGCTGAATGACCTTCACGCCAATGTTACCAACACAAGCACAAGGCAGTTCCGGTGGGGCAACGGGCAACTTCCAGTACACGACGTGGTGTAAGTAGCTCTTGCGCTTCACTGACTAGATATGACGTGATTAATTTCTGAGTGTGATACTTTTCTTTACATTTCTACTGTTATTTAACATCATATTCTGTTGCAGAAAACACATAAATAAACACAAATGGTTTACCAACGTATGTTAAATATGAGCACGTGTGTTCGGAAATAAACCTGACCTTAACTACAGAAATTGTGAACAGTCGTAATGCATATATAATGCAACTTGAACAATAAACAACCAATTGGGTATTAGAGTCTTGAAGCCGTTTGAATGTAACTGCTAGCTAGCCTTAGGTAGGCATATTGGACACCACTTTGGGATGTTACCGAGCCCCGATGATTTTATAAATCCTAAAAAACATGAGGGGGAGTGTTTTATCTAACTTATGAACCAAAAAAGAAACTTAAAACAGAATTTATCAACATTTTTATGTTGCAAACATAACTTTCCATGAACCTATGGAAACAGGCGTAAAATATATGTTGCTGGCGTACGGTACTTGAAAAAGACATTCTTGAAAGTATTGTGATTTATAAACGAAGGTTGCGTGTTCGATCTACGGCAATATAAAGAAAAAAAATGGTCTTTTGTCCTACCGTCACTGGAGGTTTATAAAGGATATTATAACATGTCCCAGGCCAGATAATAAAAGCTATGACCACAAAGATTAAAACATGTTAAAAGAGAAGAAGTTACAAAATTGTAAAACCTGAAGAACAGTTATGAGACCTAATGTAGGGAGTAACCAAACGTTTGCATAGCCTGAAACCTTATTGACTACTGTATATATTGCGATATCTCAGGTCTGAGCGAAGAGGGCTGTGAAATGAACGAGTTATATTGCTATTACAATTATCATGAGACGCCCCCTCTTATGCTGTCATTCCCAGTAATGTTATGAAGCACGTGCAGTACGTGGTTCCTCTGTTCTTCCAACCACTGTGCCCCCCTCCGTTCAAGATGTCAAAACATAACATATGATAGTTTCTTGAAAAACTTTTTCAAGTGATTTGAATAAAAATAACTATCAGCAAATATTGCTGGGTAATGATATTCTTTGCCGTATACATTTAATAGACTATATAGAACAAACAGGGGCCATCCTACACAGAGCCTGTTTATAATACCCAGTATTGACCCACTGTCACCTGGAGAGAATGATCTCGACTCATAATCATTTCTTTGTTGATTGGTACCTCCGGGCTCCCATCAGATAGTGCCATTGTTGTTGGTGTGTTGGGCATAGTCACGACCAATAATCCCTGATGTCGGGGTTTTGTTTGTTGTTCAACGCCGCACTCAGCTATATTCCAGCTATAAGACGGCGGTCTGTAAATAATCGAGTCTGGACCAGACAACCCAGTCATGAGCATCGATCCACGCACTTGGGATAGATGAAATGCATCAACCAAGTCAGCGAGTCTGACTATCAGATCTCGTTAGTCGCCTTTAACGACAAGCTTAGTCGCCATTTAGAGCAAGAATGGGTTGCTGAAGACCAATTCTTCCCCGGAACTTCACGGGTCTGATGTCTTTGGAAGGTGTGCTCCATCGAAATCCTTTTCTCTTAGATTCTGGCTCTCTTCCTGATCATATCACAAGACAGTGGACGATATGTATTCAGCGCCGTATCTGCAATGTCCTGCAATGTCCTGCGTGTATTTAAGCTAATCATCCAGCCTTCCCCAATTTCGACCAATAAAGCATAACTCCAAGATTAGCATAGGTCAACATTTCTATTGTGGACATTTTAGTTATCTTACGGACAAAATCTAGTGTAATATCATTACTTATTTCTACTTTCTGTCTTTGTGTGTCAACAAGAAATCTCTGAAATCTTAGGTCGCATGCTGTGAACTCTTGGCGCTCGCAAGGTCGTGTGGCTCCAAAACTTCCATCTTCAGCCTCTCAATTTCTAATTCCAAGTCCTTCGCTGCTCTAATTTCAAACACGCCAGTAAATTAGCTCAATAAATTCTGCCCCTAAAATTTCGGTTTCACTGATGGCTTCTGTACTTGTCATTCCCGTTGAAGAGTTAGTTCTGACGTCTCATGGCATTCACGCCGCCAGTACCTAACGGCATCTTCGGACTTTCTCGTTCGAACGATGACCCCCCTTTAGAGATTCCAAAGCCTCTTGCCATTCTATTGCCAACCGTAGACCTCTTTGGTCGAACATCAAGGCCTAAATCAGGGTTAGACTACTTGTAGCCGACGGGCATAGCGAGTCCGCCAAGCATTGCTGGCCTACGCCTTACGTATGTATTAGGTTCAACGTATAAGGTATACGGTGAAGACTCGGTGAGCGAGTGAATGCTGTAGTCATATCCAGCAACATACCCGCTATATCACAGTGGCTTGTAAAACAATACCGGTGACTGAAAACATGAGCTCCAATCCAGGGGTTTCACTGATGGCTTTTGTACCTGTCATTCCCGTTGAAGAGTTACTTCTGACGTCTCATGGCATTCACGCCGCCAGTACCTAACGGCATCTTCTGACTTTCTCGTTCGAACGATGATCCCCCTTTAGAGATTCCAAAGCCTCCACAACTCTTGCCATTCTATTGCCAACCGTAGACCTCGAACATCTAGGCCTAAATCAGGGTTAGACTACTTGTAGCTGGCCTACACCTTACGTATGTATTTGGTTCAACGTATAAGGTATACGGTGAAGACTCGGTGAGCAAGTGAATGCTGTAGTCATATCCAGCAACATACCCGCTATATCACGGTGGCTTGTAAATAAATACCGGTGACTGAAAACATGAGCTCCAAGCCAGGGGCCCCATGACTCAGCCATGTCAGAATTTGACAACTCAAGCCTCTTTAGTTGTTTCTTGGGACCTATTCTTCATTATATAATAATAATTCTGTAAGTACTCAAAGCGAAGCATAACTCACTTACCCTAGAGTGTTATAGATCAACAAGACTACGTTTACTACTGTCAGAATGCAGTCATGACCTCCCCACCTATTGTCTGTCCAGATCCGCCAATTGGGACAAGGAAACCAGTGACTTTAGGTCCAACTGCGCCTCCCTCAACGCCGCCTCGACGCTGAGTGCCGAGCGATGCGCTCACAAGCTTGGTTATATCTGTCAGATGAATATCCTGGACGGTCAGTACACCGTGTACCCGGGGTGGATGCTACGGTGGCCCATAAGGGACATGGAGTCTGTTTTTCCATATTTTGATATTTCACTTACTTTTGTCGTTACCTTTTGTAAATTCACACGATTTGTCTTCAAAAATGTGATAAATCATGTTTAAAGAAGATATTGAATCGAAGAAAAGTGAAACGAAAATGTCAAAAACTAAAAAGAAAATGTCAAAAAACAAAAACGAAAATGTCAAAAACTAAAATGAAAATGCAGAAAACTATTATAAATGGTTTTCTGTGGTTTCATTTTAGTTTTTGATATTTTCGTTTTGGTTTTTGACATTTTCGTTTTGGTTTTTGACATTTCCATTTTAGTTTTTGACATTTTCGCTTCACATTTCAGCGACTCAATAGCTACTTGAAAGTACATTTTCCATGTTTTCGGTTGTTTTTATACATGATTTATTACATATTTGTATGACAAATTGTGTTAATTTGCAAATATCTTGTGCATATTATACCAACGCAATAAATACTATGACATACATATATTATACCAAGATCGGTGATGGGGTAGCCTAGTGGTTAAAGTGTTCGCTCGTCACGCCGAAAACCCGGGTTCGATTCGCCACATGGGTAAAAGGTGTGAAGCCCATTTCTGGTGTCCCCAGCAGTGGTATTGCCGCAATATTGCTAAAAGCTGCGTAAAATCATACTCGCTCGCTCGATTATACTCACACAATGTATTCAATGTACATATTATACCAACATAATAAATATTATTTACATAGTATAACAACACAATTGTTGATACACATTAATTGTCTCTTACATGGGCGCCGATATTTGTACATCATTCTTTTATGTACTTCCTTACCTCCAGTCAGTGATAATTCAGCTCCATCTCAGTCGCCAGTCAATAAACGAATCTAAGCTCGACAAACTAGTGTGTGGAAGACCGTCCAGCGCCATGGGGGCATGTATTCAGTCAGGTTAAATGGCTTGACCTTCCGGTCTATTTGGCACCTTAGGACAATTTTGGGATAAGGGACCTTAAACATTCTCAGTCGATGTGTTTTAGAAACCTAAAGTGCAACGTTTATGTTATTCCTAGGGGCGTGCCCCTTTGCCTGGTCCATTGGGACAGCGCACTGTTATTTCTTCAGTGACCTCACGGAGCCCACTCACATCGTGTCATGGACCAGCGCTAGGACTAACTGCAGAAACAAATCGAGGCCTCACGACCGGAGTGGTGGTCTGATAGATATCGACAACCCCGACTCGGTAAAGTCTTATCATTATGTGCCACCACTATTCCCGTAGGTTTCACCACGCTGCTAAACGCCTATGACCTGCCTCCGTGGTCTAGTGGTAGACCAAGTTACGTTAAAAGATGGTACTTGTTTTACCCTGCCTGACGCTCGGAATTACGGGGTTAAAACAAGGACTGGTCGGCTCACATCACCTTCATCAAGTAATGTTAAGGACATTCTCGTCCCTCGACCTTTCAAAACAAGCTGAATAAGCCAAAAGTGCAAGGATGCTACTCCCAGCCCCACCATTCCCCCTACAACAAGCTTCTATAACTGTAATACTGTCAACCCTAACTGATTCTACCGACTATCCCTGCTATATATATGCTGTTTAATAGAACTGCTCAGACAGTATTTGTATGTTATAGGCCAAGTTAATTCAGGACATGCGTTCTTGGCCGTTTCAAGCATCGTCCAGATGGTGGACGGGTCTGACGGACAGACTGAGAGAGAATGAGTGGCGCTGGAGCAGTGGGTCGTCCTTGAACCGAAGCTATGTGTGAGTGTCTGATTCCTCGGCTGTAGCTCGCTCTCGGTGAAGACTTTGTCAACAGCTCCTGGAAGCATTGGGTGCTGGTAGCCTTCCTCCAAGGCTGTACTGAAAGAAAAGTTCATGGATGTGTAGTAATTCTATCCTTCTGCTAAGCAAGTCTAGATATGTGGACAGTACATGTAAGGACTGCTGTCTCTAAAAGGGACAACTTGTTCCTAATATTTACATAATCTAGAAATTATAATTTAAACTAGTTATTATTGCCTTAGAGACTTGTGCAAGTCTAGAGTGTTGAGTATTGTGGTTTAAAGCGATTGCTTGTCACGCCAATAGGCTCAGGCATTGTTAGACCCAAGGGTTCTGTGCAAAGATCGTTCATGGTTCTAACACGTGAGGTAATATTGGCACCGTGTTCTAAGGTTGTTAAAGCCATAGCTGTTACAGAAGCAGCGAGACTGCGAATTCCTGAATAACCACTTATTGTCAGAGAAAAATAGACTGCCAGATATACTGGTGACTAAAATGCAACGTGTCGTGAAGACGACGTTCTGTAGGCCAGTGTGTCTGTATGTAGGCCAGTGTGTCTGTATGTAGTGTGGTGTGTCTGTATGTAGGCCAGTGTGTCTGTATGTAGGCCAGTGTGTTTGTATGTAGGCCAGTGTGTCTGTATATAGTGTGGTGTGTCTGTATGTAGGCCAGTGTTTCTGTATGTAGGCCAGTGTGTCTGTATGTAGTGTGGTGTGTCTGTATGTAGGCCAGTGTGTCTGTATGTAGGCCAGTGTGTCTGTATGTAGGCCAGTGTGTCTGTATATAGTGTGGTGTGTCTGTATGTAGGCCAGTGTTTCTGTACGTAGGTCAGTGTGTCTGCATGTAGGCCAGTGTGTCTGCATGTAGGCCAGTGTGTCTGCATGTAGGCCAGTGTTTCTGTACGTAGGTCAGTGTGTCTGCATGTAGGCCAATGAGTCTGTATATAGTGTGGTGTGTCTGTATGTAGGCCAGTGTGTATGTATATAGTGTGGTGTGTCTGTATATAGGGTGGTGTGTCTGTATATAGGGTGGTGTGTCTGTATGTAGGCCAGTGTGTCTGTATGTAGGGTGGTGTGTCTGTATATAGGGTGGTGTGTATGTATATAGTGTGGTGTGTCTGTATATAGGGTGGTGTGTCTGTATGTAGGCCAGTGTGTATGTATATAGGGTGGTGTGTCTGTATATAGGGTGGTGTGTATGTATATAGTGTGGTGTGTCTGTATATAGGGTGGTGTGTCTGTATGTAGGCCAGTGTGTATGTATATAGTGTGGTGTGTCTGTATGTAGGCCAGTGTGTATGTATATAGTGTGGTGTGTCTGTATGTAGGCCAGTGTATATGTATATAGTGTGGTGTGTCTGTATGTAGGCCAGTGTGTATGTATATAGTGTGGTGTATCTGTATGTAGGCCAGTGTATATGTATATAGTGTGGTGTGTCTGTGTAGGTCAGTGTGTCTGTATGTAGGCCAGTGTGTATGTATGTACATCAAGCTGTCTGTTTTAGGTCAAAGTGTCGTATGTGGGTCAAGGTGTTCGTATGTAGGTCAAAGTGTCGTACTTTGGTTAAGGTGTCCGTATGTAGGTCAAAGTGTCGTATGTGGGTCAAGGTGTCGTATGCAGGTCAAAGTGTCGTATGTGGGTCAAGGTGTCCATATGTAGGTCAAAGTGTCGTATGTGGGTCAAGGTGTCCGTATGTAGGTCAATGTGTCGTATGCATGACAAAGGGTCGTATGTGGGTCAAGGTGTCTGTATGTAGGTCAAGGTGTCCGTATGTAGGACAAAGTGTCGTATGTGGGTCAAGGTGTCCGTAAGTAGGTCAAAGTGTCGTATGTGGGTCAAGGTGTCTGTATGTGGGTCGAGGTGTCCGTATGTAGGTCAAAGTGTCGTATGTGGGTCAATGTGTCCGAATGTAGGACAAAGTGTCGTATGTGGGTCAAGGTGTCCGTATGTAGGTCAAAGTGTCGTATGTGGGCCAAGGTGTCCGTATCTAGGTCAAAGTGTCGTATGTGGATCAAGGTGACAGTATGTTGTCAAAGTGTCGTATGTAGATCAAGCTGTCCGTATGTAGGTCAAAGTGTCGTACGTAGGTCAAGACGTTAATGTATGTAGATAACTCTCTGTGATGAATATATTCAGAAACTGGACTCGGGAGCCTGACAACATCAGAGGCGATGAACACTGCGTCACGCTCCTACAGAAAGGCACCTTCAGCGACAGGGACTGCAATCAGACCAACAACTACATCTGCAGGAAGATGCAATTCATACGTAAGACGTTGAATGTTTCTGTGATATAAGTGAAAGGGATAATTCGGTTTAATCACGAATAATAAAAATGAGCCTTTCACAAACGTTAGCTTTAGAATTAATACATATCTTATTGGGGTTCACATGTTGGAGTCACTATTTATTAACTGACTTATTTACTAATTAAAAGTTCTCAAATAGTCTTAACACTTAAAAAGGCTTCGCAACAAAGGTATACAGGTCGTCTTCTTATTTCAATCCTGTCGCAATTAATGTTTAATGTTTAACTATTTTTATATTATATTTAAATATATATATATATATATATATATATATATATATATATATATATATATATATATATATATATATATATATAATATTATGTTATTATTTATTTTGCTACAATGTATGTATTTAATTGTTAATATTGTATATTTTCTACTTGAATTATTGTGCCAGTTTAAAGTAAGAATGTTCTGTCTTTTTATTAGTGTGACCAACCTGAGATAAGGGACCTTATGGGTGAAAAATCAGATTTTGACTTCTTAATATTTTGAAAACTACGGTATCTTAGACCCATAAAAATCAATTCATAAGCTTCAATTCATATTTAATACAGAGATATATGGTATCAAACATTTGGACTCATTTTGTGCAAACTCCCATTTTCATGCTCATAACTGTTTATGTAATGATCGCAGTGTTTAGATATAATATCAGATTATGTGAACGTAGACGAGTATGCTGAGATGTTTTGAAATAATGTTTTGTTACATAACGAACTAACGAGGGAAAAGTAAGATACTTTTGTACGATCCGCACACATGGTATTTTTGACGGTAGTAAGTTGACGTCAACGTCCCTCTTTATGACGTCAAAGCACAATTGCCTCCAAGCACCCATCAGGGCTCTTTTCTCCTGGTGGGCCACATTTCAACAATCGTCATCACCACATCTCCATGTCATGATCCCTGTTTATTTACATGATATCACCTTGTTATCACTAAGTTATCACCATGTTATCACTATGTTGTCATCATCGTCATCACTGTATTTGTCATAATATTCAACCTGTCTCTGTGAATACATATCCCCTATATATATTAGCTGGTCTCCCTAAGGCTGAATCTGTATGTAGGAAAATTAAGGAGACCCAAAAACATGTATATTTTTTATTTTTTAATATATTTTTTTCATCATATAGCTATCGATTGCCAGGATGATTTAGAGTTAAAATACATCATTAAACTTAATAAAAGTATATATGCAACAAAATATACACCTGGTCTCCCTAAAGCTGTTTTTTACATACGGTCTCCCTAATGCTTGTTTCAAATATATATATATATATATATATATATATATATATCATCATGACGAGAGGTACGATACTATATATATGTCGTATGTTTACGATCTGCGATTTTCATGCTAAACCATTTCACGTTCGTAACAAAAACTGATATACCGTAATTCCTCTATGAGGAACCCGTATTTCATAGCGCTGGGTCTAGGTGTATGGATATGACGGCACTTCTTTCCATTGCATTGGAATACATGGATTCTATTCAACTTCTGACAAAAGTTCATCTCTAGTTTGGATCTAAGTTGATAAGGGCACGTGCTCGAAATAGAGGAACTACGATATATCATATTTCAGCAGGGGGTGATGTGGATGACCTGTAATGAAGATGGCCCAGCTCTATCCTAACAGAGGTAATCCGGTGAATAAAAGCGAAAAAAACCTTTCAGTATTCATAAGAAATCTCTGCCTAAAACACTATTTATATTCCGATTATATCATGAGTATGTGTTTATGAATCACTGGTAATGATGATACCAGGTGTTCGCGAAAAGGTGAGCGTATCCTGCCCTGCCGGTGGTCAGCCTTTTACCAGTGATTTCAGTATTATTATTATATTTCTTCTTCCACTATGATCTAGTGACTTTTGTATGTGAAAGGTAGCACGTTACATAGCCCGGTATCACGTCACGGAGACAATATCACGTCACAGAGGCCGGTAACACGTCACAACGACAACATCACGTCACAGACGCCGATAATACGTCAAACAGACAAATCTCACGTCACAGAGGTAGCGAACAAGTCACCGAAGATGACATCACACCACAGAGGTAGGTACAACGTCACAAGAGCGGTACATTTGTCACATAGCCAGAAAGCTCGTCAAATATATCGTCAAATAGAGGTGTGTTATTACAATACACAAATGCTTTTAATAACCAAACAACTTACATAACACATGGCTTACATAACACATGTGTATTATAACTAGATCTAGTGACATCCACACACCATGGTGAATAAGCAGATCTAGTGACGTCCACACACCAAGGTGTATAACCAGATCTAGTGACATCCACACACCAAGGTGTCTAACTAGATCCACTGACGTCCACACACCAAGGTGTATAACCAGATCTAGTGACGTCCACCCACCAAGGTGTCTACCTAGATCTAGTGGCATCCCCACATCAAGGTGTATAACTAGATCTAGTGACGTCCACACACCAAGGGGTATAACTAGATCTAGTGTATTCAACACACCAAGGTGTATAACCAGATCTAGTGACGTCCACACACCGAGGTGTATAACTAGATCTAGTGACAACCACACATCAAGGTGTATAACCAGATCTAGTGACATCCACACACCAAGGTGTATGTTTAACCAGATCTAGTGACATCCTCACACCAAGATGAGTAACCAGATCTAGTGACGTCCACACATCAAGGTGTATAACCAGATCTAGTTACATCCACACACCAAGGTGTATAACCAGATCTAGTGACATCCACACACCAAGGTGTATGTTTAACCAGATCTAGTGACATCCACTCACCAAGGTGTATAACCAGATTTAGTGACGTCCACACACCAAGATGTATAACTAGATCTAATGTCGCCCACACGCCGAGGTGTATAACTAGGTCTAGTGACATCCACACACCAAGGTGTATAACTAGATCTAGTGTCGTCCACACACCAAGGTGTAAAACTAGGTCTAGTGACATCCACACACCAAGGTGTATAACTAGATCTAGTGTCGTCCACACACCGAGGTGTATAACTAGGTGTAGTGACATCCACACACCAAGGTGTATAACTAGATCTAGTGTCGTCCACCCACCAAGGTGTATAACTAGGTGTAGTGACGTCCACACACCGAGGTGTATAACTAGATCTAGTGTCGTCCACACACCGAGGTGTATAACTAGATCTAGTGGCATCCACACATCAAAGTCTATAACTAAATCTAGTGACGTCCACATACCGAGGTGTATAACCAGATCTAGTGTCGTCCACACACCGAGGTGTATAACTAGGTGTAGTGACGTCCACACACCGAGGTGTATAACTAGATCTAGTTTCGTCCACACACCGAGGTGTATAACTAGATCTAGTGGCATCCACACATCAAAGTCTATAACTAAATCTAGTGACGTCCACATACCGAGGTGTATAACCAGATCTAGTGTCGTCCACACACCGAGGTGTATAACTAGATCTAGTGTCGTCCACACACCGAGGTGTATAACCGTATCTAGTGGCGTCCACATAGCAAGGTGTATAACTGTATCTAGTGGCGTCCACACACCAAGGTGTATAACTAGATCTAGTGACGTCCACACACCAAGGTGTATAACTGTATCTAGTGGCGTCCACACACCAAGGTGTATAACTAGGTCTGGTGACATCCACACACCAAGGTGTCTAACTAGGTTTTGTGACATCCACACACCAAGGTGTATAACTAGATCTAGTGTCGTCCACACACCGAGGTGTATAACCAGATCTAGTGACGTCCACACACCAAGGTGTACATCCAGATCTGTTGACATCCACACACAAAAGTATTTTAACCAGATCTAGTGACTTGTATAACAAGACATGGTGTCATCCATACAAGGTAAAGTTTGTGAGTGTTCAGAAAAGATAACTGCTCTATATATCGGCCTACAGTGATGTACAGTGGTACACAATGCATTCATGTTCGCTATCATAGAGATAACATAACATGTCGCCGGGCAAAGTCTGATAAGCTACTGATACCCCAGAATCTCCCACCCTCCTCTTGATACTGTTGCCCGATTCTAATAAACTATGAAGGCGTTAATATCATCAGTATGTCTACTACTGGGTGAGTATGTCGCCTTTTCTTCTCACTTTACGTATACGAGAGCCTTTTGCTCGCACCTGCCACTACTGATCTAGAAATCCATGCACAGGGCTGCCATTCAGGCCACCTAACCTCTACAGTCGTGACACAGTCGCTTCCATGAACCGGAACATCAAACTTACAGAGAAACGAAATATCTACAGTTGTTCCCATTTGAAATATTAAAACATAATGACAAAACAAATTGTCTGAAATAAGTCAGTATTATTACTGTTCGGTTGCCCAGGTTCCACTGTCTGCAACGCAAATTATTACAACGCAATGCTTGATTGGCCAACCAGGCCTCGTCATGTACAACATTGTAGCGTTGTAGCCGGTAGTGATAGTCTGTTTATCTACTCCACTGATAACAACTCGGCTGTTTCAAAATGGTTGAAATCGTATAATTCCTTTCGAAAAATATGATGTACATGGCATAAAATGTATGTATTATATTTCCTATAATTTCTATGTTCAGAACTAATGTTTAAATAACAACAATTAACATATAGCGTCCATGTTGTCCTCTGCATCCCGTACAATGGAGCGGTAGAATGGATGCATGGCGAACGAAGTACCGTATTTCCTCTGATGGGCGTGTGTCCCTGTACGTCAAATGTTTCTCAGAATCGGCTGTTATGAGATACCTTATATCTTTCAGAGATGACTTTCCACATAAATATATTTCAGAACATGTATGATTGTCACCAAGTATTGATCCTAGATAACTTGTTTGTTACTGTCACTTTAGGTGATATATTTCATTAAGCCGAGATTCATTACTTACATACACTGACTACTTCCGGTTCCGTTGCTGTAATGTGTACTGAACATTGTCTCGACGCATTCGGCACCACTCGCCCCTTTCCGTAACCTGCAAGAAGACTCGTCCCCCTATCGATGAATGTTATGTGCGAAAATACGACAAAACAATCAGAATGCGCGTATGATTTCAAGTTCTTCGTCAAAGAATCCCTCAGAAATAATTTCTGTTTTTACATATGTCTTGCATCTAAAAATATACCCAAGACGCAGTTACATGTGTTCAATCATACTGTACAATTTCGCATGTGCTTTAAATTGCATCTGAAATATTAATAATATATGGGGAAATATGTGTGAATCATTGCGCAACGAGTTGACAATTGTTTTAGGTATGCCCGTTTGCGCTAAGACGGAACCCGGTTGCAAAAATGGCCACGAGATCTAGAGGGGCACGAGTCGCTATTCGGCTTGTCCCGGAATAACACGAGTTGGTCACGAATGTGTCTCGACGCTGTCACGGATTGGTCGAATGACTTATCGTTAGTACAGAGGATAAACGCTCAAATGACAGAGAAACATAGAGAATGCTCGTTATAGTTGGTACTATAAACACCCCCCCCCCCCCCACACACACACACACAAACAGACACGTCATGGACGGTGTGTGTGTGTCCCATACGCTATCTCTGTCAGTCGCTGCTCCTACTTCATGTTGTTTAGTGTGCACATACTATTACACTACATCTATCACTAACGGAAAGTTTGTGCTCCATTAACCTTCTAATCCTTTCTCAGTTCCCATCCCCCATCGACGAATATGCGCACCAATCGTTTTTTTGTCTCTCTGGTTGGTTTAACAATAAAAATTGAAACATCAAGTATTCCACACAGGTGTAGTTTCGACGTAAGTGTAAATTGGCAGTGTGTATCCCAATTACTGCATTTACAGTGTGCGCTGCATACTTATTTGTACTTTCTCGCGTAGAATAGGTCCTGGTTGGGACAAAGTGAACGATCTAAGCTTCCGTGTCCTGATTCAACAACCGCCTCCGTGGTCTTGTGGTAGAGCGTCCGCCCGGAGAGCGGAAGGTCCGGGGTTCGATCCCGGGCCGCGTCATACAAAAAGACGTTAAAAGATTGTACTTGTTGTTACCCTGTCTGGCGCTCGGCATTAAGGGGCTAAAACAAGGACTGGTCGGCTCGGAGTCAGTAGACTGTGTCTGAGTGGGGTATTCATGTTAAACTGCGGCATGGTATCTCAGTGAGCTAGCACTATAAATCGGCATCAGTCCGGACTAGTACAAGCAGCCACACACACACATACACGTGCATGCACGTCGCTATATAAGTGCAATAATCTTGGACGCGACGTTAAACCCAATTTCACCTCACCTCACCTGATTCAACACCACGCGCGATTCGGGCAATACTGCGCATATGTAATAATGGTTGATGTCAAAGTGAATGCATCTGTTGTAGTAGTATTATGAAGATATGCTGAGATAACAGGACATTTTCATTCAGTAGCATTGTAGCTTCCAATGGGAACAATATAGCTCTTTTGAATAAAGAGAATGCCATGGAGTGAAAAGTAAGCATTTGGGTATGTTCACAAAACTAATAATCAAATAACACTAAATAAATTCAATGCCAAAAACATTCCCTGAAAGCCGCTCTATTTCTATGGATGAATATGTTTCACATATTGATTGGATCTGTGAAGATCCATGCTTGTCGTAAAAGGGAACTGAAGGGATCGGGTGGTCAGGCTCGCTGACTTGGTTGATGCCTGCCATCGATCCCAATTGTGTGGATCGATGCTCATGATGTCAATCACTGGATTGTCTGGTCCAGATTCGATTATTTACAGGCCGCCGTCATATAGCTGGAATATTGCTGAGTGCGGCGTTAAACAAAAATCAACATCACATATTGATTGTAAATATTAATTTAACATACTGATAGTTTGTTTTGAATCCAATAACTTGTTCTCACCGCTGTATGATTAAAACAATACCGATACAACACTAACACGTAACTCACTCACTCCAGGGTATGTCGGGGCTGACACCAGCTCCCCCTGCCCCACGGGACCAGGGTGGGTGACGGGGACGAACTACTGCTACTACTTCAACAACAAAGACACCGTGTCGTGGGCCGATGCAAACGACGAATGCAGTACGAGGATGGCCAAGTTGCTGAGACTGGAGAGTGTTGATGAGTGGGTACGTAGGAACCTCCTTGATATGAGATGTTGATCTGTAGCTATTACCTTGCAAGCTTCGAGAGACAGTGTTTAGGCCTGGTTGGCCAACCAAGCAACGAGTCTCGTGATAGACATATCTGACTGAGTATAGCCGGCGCCGTTGCTTTTCCCAGTTTGTGAACTGTTCAAATCAACATGCAGTGAAGACTTTGAAGGGCATTTAGAAGTGATACACATAAGGAAGAGGTGAGGTGAGGTGAGGTGAGGTGAAATTGGGTTTAACGTCGCGTCCAAGATTATTGCACTTATATAGCGACGTGCATGTACGTGTGTGTGTTTTTGTGGCTGCTTGTACTAGTCCGGACTGATGCCGATTTAAAGTGCTAGCTCACTGAGATACCATGCCGCAGTTTAACATGAATACCCCACTCAGACACAGTATACTGACTCCGAGCCGACCAGTCCTTGTTTTAGCCCCTTAATGCCGAGCGCCAGACAGGGTAACAACAAGTACCATCTTTTAACGTCTTTTGGTATGACGCGGTCGGGGATCGAACCCCGGACCTTCCGCTCTCCGGGCGGACGCTCTACCACTTGACCACGGAGGCGGTCCACATAAGGAAGAGACTTTAAGGATGTCAACTTCTTTATTACGAGGAACACAACGTTTCGGGGTTTATACTTACTTCTTACTCCTTCATCAGGTGAAATGATGAAGCAGTAAGCATATACTCCTGAACGGTGTGCTCCCCATAATATAGAAGTTGACATCCATAAATTTTCTACCCCGACATGCAGTGGCCATTTTTACCACCCGATTCCTTGTCATAATGCTATACGTATGCAGTGCAGCGTCGGGCTGGAGTTGGGTAGAATAGGGTAGAATTGGGTAAATTGGGTATAACAGGTCCCCAGTGGTAAGAGTGAGTGAGTGAGTATGGTTTTACGCCGCTTTTAGCAACATCACGGCGGTGGACACCAGAAATGGGCTTCACACATTGTACCGATGTCGGGATTCGAACCCGGGTCTTCGGCGGCGTGACCAGTGAACGCTTTAACCACTAGCCCCCCCCCCCCCCCCCCCCCCCATAAAACTCGACGCAGGGGATTGTCCGGTTAGACTCACTGTGACTGGTGCATTGCAGTTCAGCGTATCCTGATACCGTCGTCGTTACAGTCACATAATTACAAACTGTTTTTTTCTCGTTACTACCGGGACCCTTAAGAATTATATAGGAGCTATTGTTACTGCATGTTTATGTTACATCCCGTTACATTGATTTATGCCCATGCCCGCGAAACATTAGAAGTAAGGGAGCATCTATTTGATGTGTATGGTGGCGAGGGATTTGTTTTTAGATCAATCTATTTTTGTTCCAGCTATAGTGAGTGAGTATGGTTTTACGCCGCTTTAGCAATATTCCAGCAATATCATGGCGGGGGACACCAGAAATGGGCTTCACACATTGTACCCATGTGGGGAATCGAACCCGGGCCTTTGGCGTGACGAGCGAACGCTTTAACCACTAGGCTACCCCACCACCCTCAAGCTATAACCAACAAACTACTGGTATATATTTACTGAGCACCATCATTAACATATATTTTTGACGTTTGGTATTTTACAAAATTTTATTTAGTTTCACGAAAATACAGTTAATAAAAACTAAAATTGAAAATTCCAACAAACCTTTCCTTTTTTCACCACTGCTAACAAACAGTTCATTTTGGGCATGGTTCTGAACAAATTATGTACATAAATAATCTCCCTCATAGAAAGCAAATGGATGCTCCTTAAGATATTTATCTTAAGATTCAAATTAGTGGAATGTGTAGTAAATGTATTTTGATATACAGACTCTAATATAAATATGTCCCTTTCCTTTGAATTAGACATTTGTGAAGAACAACATGGCCTTTGACCAAAGTGGCAACGGTTTCTGGACAGCATTGAATGACATTGACCCGTCTGGCACAGGCACTGGAACCGGAATCTGGCTGTGGGGCAATGATGAATATCCAATTGATGCAATTGTGTACGTACAATGTAAATTACAGTCGTTAATCTGACAATCGTTAATCTGACAATCGGCTTTATCCGACACTAATGATGGCAACCGATAGAATCAGTGCCGTTTAGACCCGTTAATTCGACAGTCTCGCACTCCGACTCCGACACACCTAATTTGCTACGACTTGCTGAAATCACTCATTAATCAGTCTCGTTTATCCAAGACAGTGATCAATGTACGCCGTGGTCATCTGCCCGCGAGTAAACAGCCCGTGTTTTGATGCGAGTAGCTGCATATTACAACGGCTGCAGAGATAAACTTGCTTAACAATAAACAATTACTGCTTTAAATAAACAAAACAGGATTAATAACATCCTTTGATTACCTCAATTTCATTAAAATCAGAAACAAGTTCTCGCTTCAGCTGAGGACATCCCATTACAGGTCACGTCAGAACGACCATTACCGAACTTTGACGGACCAATTAAATGACTAACAGGAAGTCGACATTAGCCAATAAGAAAGCAGCTTTCTTGAGCATTGCGGTACCAGTTTCAAACTGGCGACTTCCATTCCAGACTATGCTTTTAAAAGTAGTTTGAGCCCGTAACAGTATAATCAACATGCCGTCTTATTCTTGTGGTTTTCTCTCTCCATTACCTCGGAAGAACGTTTGTTTTATGTGACAACAATGATGATTATGGTAGCGCCAACGAATTGACAAAGTGTAATCTGGTGTACGTAAATTCGGATACCCCGGTAGCTTGGTAAGGGGAGGGGAGGTGAAATAGGGGTCAGTGATTGAGTGAGTGAGTTGGGTTTAACCCCGATTTTAACAGTATTCAGTATAAAGCCCGAAGTGATGCAGGTCTGAGACGTTTACCACTTCGGTGAAACCCACGAGCACGGGTATGGTGCTGACAAACCTAGAAATATAATTGGGTCGAACCGGGATTCGAACCCACAATCATAGGTTTCTGGCGTGTCCAAGCGAGGCAACTCTGCCTTAGACGACTAGGTTACCCGTGTCCCCGAAATAGGGTTCAAAGTCCAAATTATTGCACTTATATGGAGACAAAAATGCGCGTGCGCGCGCGCGTGTGTGCACTAGTCCGGACAAGTGCTGATCTTATAGTGCTAGCCCACTGAGATACCATGCCGCAGTTTAACACGAATACCCCACTCAGACACAGGAAACAGACTCTGAGCTGACCAGTCCTTGTTTTAGACAATTAACGCCGGGCGCCAGACACGGTAACAAGAAGTGTCATCTTTTAACGTCTTTTGGTATGACGCGGCCGGGCATCGAACCCCGAACTTTCGCTCTCTGGACAAACGCATTATCTACTGTACCACGGAGGCGGTCAGCTTGGTAAGACCAGAGAGATAATAGGTAGCTTCAAATACATTGAAACCCCGTCAGTCCTGAAACCTACCTTTGTGGCGAATGTGTTTGGGATGTCTGTTTATACACATTGGGCATTACACCATATCCATGACCTATAACTCGGCCTTGTATTAATTTGAACGATTTCACTGGGAACGGGGACGACCGGGTTTAAAGGAATTCATGCTCTTTTATCCAGAAAGTCTAACTGGGATAAAGAACCAGATAACAACGACGACGAAGACTGCATTGCCATCAACCTCGCTGACACACTCAGCGACGAGCACTGTTCCAGGAAGATGGGCTATATTTGTGAACTAAACAATGGTACGTACCCACGCGGTGTAGCTTGTCACTGGGTGAGTGAGTGAGTTGGGTTTAACGCCGCTTTTAACAGTATTCCAGTTATATCACGGCGTGTGCTTAAGGTGGGGGAAAAGCCCGAGGTGATGCAGGTCTGAGACGTTTACCATTTCGGTGAAACCCACGAGCACGGGTATGGTGCTGACAAACCTAGAAACATAATCGAGGCGAACCGGGATTCGCACCCACAATCGTAGGTTTCTGGTGTGCCCAAGGGACGCAACTGGGACAACTGGGCCACCCGTTCCCCTTGTGCCAGTAAGTGAGTGAATGAACGGGGAGACAACTCTGCACAGACAATTGCGACGCCTTACACGACTGGGCCGCTTGTGCACCCTTATTGAACTTGGACAGTGAGTGAGTGAGTGAGTGAGTGTGGTTTACGTCGGTTTGATCCTTTGTTTAATTTCCGCAGCACCACGGCGGGAATTTATACTGACAACCCGCCGGATAGTAGAAAGTATAAAACCAGAGTTGATGCTGGCTAAAAATGAAACAAACAGTTCGATGGTGATACCTGTTTTGGACCTAAGTTTGTAGTGTTTCGGCGAATGTTTTCAGCCTAGTAACGTTTTGCTTACGTTTGCAATCTTTGGTCAAATCTAATTTTAAGTGTATACTTTCTTTTCCCCTGGGGTAACGTCGAGCGTTTTTATCATAAGTCTACCAAACAGCCAGCCTGTCAATCAGTTAGTATTTGGTTTGGCTCTTTAGACAGACACATTGTACCAATTAGGGAATCGAACCCTATTGTTCGGCATGACGAGTGAACACTTTATCCATCAAGTAAAACGTTTGCCGATCTGTCAGTGAATGCGAAGGTGTTGTCAGTAACAGCAGTGTACATCACAGCTGCCTGTTCGCCGTCAGGGGTGATGATGATTGTTTTGTGCTTGTAGATATGTGTCCCTTCGGCTGGATTCCAGGAGCGTCAAATTGTTACTTTGTGAGCAACACCAGTGATCCCACCAAATTCGTAACCTGGGATGCAGCAAGCTCACTGTGCCAAGACGCAAATACCGTGGGCAAAGGTCAAGCACACCTGCTGACAGTGAACACGGCGGAGGAAGCGGTGAGAGAGAGAGAGAGAGAGAGCGAGAGAGAGAGAGAGAGAGATTGAGAGAGAGAGAGAGATTGAGAGAGAGGGGGAGGGGGAGAGAGAGATTGAGAGAGAGATTGAAAGATATTGTGAGATTGAGATAGACCGAGAGAGAGAGAGAGAGAGAGAGAGAGAGAGAGAGAGAGAGATTGTGGGATTGAGATAGACCGAGGGAGACAGAGAGATTGAGAGAGAGATTGAGAGAGAGATTGAAAGATATTGTGAGATTGAGATAGACCGAGGGAGAGAGAGAATGTGAGATTGAGAGAGAGAGAGTGAAATAGAAATTGAGAGAGAGATTGTATATTGAGATAGACCGAGGGGGAGAGAGAGAGAGATTGAGCGAGAGATTGAGAGAGAGATTGAAAGATATGGTGAGATTGAGATAGACCGAGAGAGAGAGAGAGAGATTGTGAGATTGAGAAAGACCGAGGGAGATAGAGAGGGAGAGAGAGATTGAAAGATATTGTGAGATTGAGACTGAGGGAGAGAGAGATTGAGCGAGAGATTGAGAGATTGAGAAAGAGGGAGAGGTTGAGGGAAAGATATTGTGAGAGAGGTGGAGAGAGATTGAATGAGAGAGAGAGAGAGAGAGAGAGAGAGAGAGAGAGAGAGAGAGAGAGAGAGAGTATACATTATCAATAAACAAACTGTGGTGTTCGTTCATCAACAAACAAAAGAACAATTGTCTTTTGTATTGCCAGAGCTTCTTCGCTGAATACATACCGACAGCATGGTCCTTGACGACCACCCAGAAGTGGTGGACAGACTTGACGGACAAGCAAACAGAGGGGTCGTACAAGTGGATGAATGGCGATGTTTTCAACCAAAGCCTTGTGTGAGTGATTGTCTTCCTTGATTTTACCATGCGCGAATCCATAGCCACAACATAAATAAAAACACAACAAAAACACAACAATAAATAAATAAAAACTAAAATAAATAAATAAATAAATAAATAAATAAATAAATAAATAAATAAATAAATAAAAATAAATAAATAAATAAATAAATAAATAAATAAATAAATAAATAAATAAATACTTTATATGTTAAGGAGGTGGACTCAAGAGCCTAACAACATCAAGGGTCGGGAGCACTGCGCCACCATGCTACAGAAAGGCACCTTCAGCGACAGGGATTGCACACAGACCAACAACTACATCTGCAGGAAGGAGATACCCACTCGTAAGCCGTCGCAAAAGACACCATTCAGAATTTGTTAATTCACTTTTGGTAATCTATGACACCTTTGAAGGGACAGTGTTGCGTTGTCACCCGTACAAAAACAAAAGCAAGACAAGACAAAATTAACCAAAGTGCCACATCGGAATAATAAGACAGAGCCACATTTTGACCAATTGTCGCATTGTCGTGCCTTAAATAATATATTTTTACCAACGAACGACATTGCGATATTTTTCCAGGTCACAACGTTGTTGCATTACCACCGCATCTAAAAATGGGTAAAATAGGCGTTAAAATGTCCGCATATTGATTATGCCGCATTGCCACTCTTTCCCATCATAGGTGCATATGGAAAACAAGTGAATTTTATTGCGCATGCGCTGAAATGGGTCAACTCTCCAGTGGTCATTTTTCTACTCCAGTGATGCTAAAACTATTAGAGTACCAGTGAGAACATGGGGATCCTTCTCAAAGTGAAAACAGAATTCTTCATCCTTAAGAAATGATTTCATATAGCTTTATTGTCTGTGTCGTTTAATAAAATAACGTGTTTTTACAAAGAGAAACAAACTCTGGGTATTTCGATTCATAATTCCAGTCCCGAACAGTTTGATACAAGGAGCATGGTTTGCCAAGTCGTCTCAGGCGGCGCCTCTCGCTGTGCAGAGTAGAGTCACGTATTTGTACCATAGCCGTGGGTTCCACGTAGCGGACCCATGTTGAGTCTAAGACTTGCATCAACTCGGGCTTTCCTCCCACCTCAAGCTGACACTCAGTAAGTAAACTACGGTTATAACGAACTAAAAAGTACCACTACTTAGTTCGTTATAACCATAGTTCGTTATAAGCACATGTACAGCCTATATACAGCAAATGGAAAGGACCCCCAAACAGTTCGTTATATCCGTCAGTTCGGTATACGCGTGTTCGTTTTAAACCGTAGTTTACTGTAGTATAACTGAAACTGTCCAAGCGGCGTTTAGCGATATTCACTCACCCATTATATACTTTTGGTGAAAAGATGCTTTGACAGCTTGGTACATTAAGGACACCTTTCACAATAATGTTTTTGTTTTGTCTCTACATAGTACAGTAAACTACGGTTATAACGAACACGCTTATAAGGAACTGACGGATATACGAACTTACTTTTTTGGTCCCGACTATTTGCTGTAGTTATGCTGCATATATGCTTATAACGAACTACGGTTGTAACGTACTACAATTAGTAGTCCCCATGAGTTCGTTATAACCGTAGTTTACTGTACATCAAATTCCAAATAACCGACAACCCTGTAACACACAGCCTCTTGTTATGTATGCGCATTTGTCATTAAGTTTATCTGTAATTGACCCGTGAAGATCCGGGTTAAATAGGTCTTCGGCAACCCATCATGATTCTGGTCGAAAAGGCAACAATGCTTGTCGTAAGAGGCGACTAACAGGATCGGGTGGTCAGGCTCGCCGACTTGGTTGACGCATGCCATCGTATCCCAGTTGCGGAGATCGATGCTCATGATATCTATGACTGGATTGTCTGGTCCAGACTCGATTATTTACAGACCGCCATCATACAGCTGTAATATTGGAGTGCGGCGTTAAACAACAAACAAATCTGTAATAACAGATCATGATTTGTTAAAATTTTTGTATCTACAGTAAGAAATGTAAGGGCAACAATGCGACATTTCGTCTATACGTTTGGCATGGTTTTGCAAGGGCAGTGAGCAAAGACAGTGATGACTGACAATGTCAAACTTCGGACGTCTATGCAAGTGTTAACTCTGGTCACTACTGTATCACGTGGTCGGGTAGCCTAGTGGTTAAAGCGTTCGCTCGTCACGCCGAAGACCCGGGTTGGAATCCCGACATGGGTACAATGTGTGAAGCCCATTTCTGGTGTCCCCCGCCGTGATATTGCTGGAATATTGCTAAAAGCGGCGTAAAACCATACTCACTCACTCACTCACTGTATCACGTGTCAGCAGCCAGTAATACCGGAAGTGATATCCCCACATATTTCCCGTTTCCAGAGCAGTATACGGTCAACTTTGGCTGCGGGGATTGGGAGAGGGCTGGGCACAAGTGTTATCAGGCCATCGCCAAGCCCGCCAAGTCCTGGTCAGACGCACAGACATCCTGCAAGGCGCTAGGTGGTAACCTGATGAAGATAGAGAATCAGGATGAAATGGTTTGTGTACACCACCCCCTTTATAGTGAAATAATTTTTAGATTTGAAGTTTACGATATACGGCTTTTCCATAGGACGAGAGGTCGGTCACATGACCGCGAAATTGACGTTCATAAGTGTATGAACGACACAATTTGACGTTCATACGTTTTTCACGAGACCGTGTTCTTGAAATGACGTAAACACTGACGGACTACTTACACATTCCTGGGGAAACCCCTGGGAATTCCCTACCACGAAAACATGCATAAGCGTTCTTTCTGATCATTTAGAACCTTTATTCTTGGTCGCAAGCTCCGACGTTCATACAGTTTGGCCCTCACTCTATGAAGGTTCATACTCCAATGAACTCACACAAAGTGAAAGTCAATTCTTAAATATAAGATAGCTACGCGATAAATCGTAAAGAACAATGAAGAACGAAGCGTGGTTTATGTCACGATAAAACATTGTTCTATCATGACGTCATTTCTGGAGATACGAACATGCGCGAAGTGAGTTGCTTCCCATAGATGTAACTGGGCAACGCAAATAAACGCAATGGCCGAACGATCGCATCCAAAAGAGGGCGAGATATGACAATTGGTATTGGGAGAAAGGGTACAGATACCCGAAATAGTATCCATTGTCCATTGTAGACCACAGTAGGCTAGTAACATTTTGGTAACGTCTGAATTTTTCAGTCAAAATCAGTTTTCATGTTTAATCTTTCCTTTGACCGGAAGTTCAAACACAATGGGGCTATGTTGAAACACCAACCCAAAACGCGGTGTAACATGTACTTATATAGCTAGTGTATGAAACCAAGGTGTCACCAGCAAGTTATAGTCAAGTCATTGTACACACATTTAGTTTGTATGATGATATTAATCTCGCAATTAAGTGAGTGAGTGAATGAGGTTTTATGCCGCTTTTAGCAATATTCCAGCAATATCACGGCGGGTAAATGGGCTTCATACACAGTACCCATGTCGGGTCTTCGGCGTGACGAGCGAACGCTTTAACCACAAGGCTACCCGACCGCCTCTCTCGCAATTAAGAACTACCCTGGTATACATATATAAGACATTGAGTCCCCTGGGTCTGAGACCCTTGACCATGGTATCGCTTTAATAAAAAGCGACAAAATCCTATCCATATTCAACAGAAATCTTTACATAAAGCAGAGTCGATTGTACGATTTTGACTATGTCATAAACATGTGTTTATGAATCACTATCAAATAATGAAGATAGCAGATGTTCGCGAAAAGGTAAGCGTACCCTGCCCTACCGGTGGCGCACGTAAGAAACACATGCAATTTAACCAATCAAACACAAGTCTGAACATATTTTCAGCACTGGTTGAGCTACCAGTCGAAGACGGCCAAGATGTCTTATGGCGGCTACTGGATTGGCCTCAATGACCAGTCCAGCATGGACCACGTGAACTGGAACTGGGCGGATGGGAGCAAGGCCGATACATCCTACCTGTAAGGCGATATTATTTTTTGTAGCTGATTGGTTAAAATAGGAGGTTTCAAGATTGATTGGTTGAAATAGGGTAGTTCAAGATGTTCCGGGAGTGGGTTTTGTATTAAACAATGTGTTTGTTATGACTTCAATATGAAATGGCTCGCTCACCCCACGTGTCCATGGTATGCTGTGGTTAAACCTTATGTATCTCCCATCTTGTGTGTCTGGGGTATGCTGCAGATAATGCTAATGTCTCGCTCATCCTGTGTGTCTGGGGTATGCTGTAGTTAAAGCTAATGTTTCGCCCATCCTGTGTGTCTGGGTTATGCTGTAGTTAAAGCTAATTTTCGCCCATCCTGTGTGTCTTGGGTATGCTGTAGTTAAAGCCAATGTTTCGCCCATCCTGTGTGACTTGGGTATGCTGTAGTTAAAGCTAATGTTTCGCTCATCCTGTGTGTCTTGGGTATGCTGTAGTTAAAGCTAATGTTTCGCCCATCCTGTGTGTCTTGGGTATGCTGTAGTTAAAGCCAATGTTTCGCCCATCCTGTGTGTCTTGGGTATGATGTAGTTAAAGCCAATGTTTCGCCCATCCTGTGTGCCTTGGGTATGCTGTAGTTAAAGCCAATGTTTCGCCCATCCTGTGTGTCTTGGGTATGCTGTAGTTAAAGCTAATGTTTCGCCCATCCTGTGTGTCTTGGGTATGCTGTAGTTAAAGCCAATGTTTCGCCCATCCTGTGTGTCTTGGATATGCTGTAGTTAAAGCTAATGTCTCGCTCATCCTGTGTGTCCAGAGTGTGGAATCAGGAACCCGACGACCTGAACGGTGATGAGGACTGCGCCGCAATGGGAACCGATGGCGTCTACACCGACTGGAACTGCGATCATTTCCACAATGGATTCATCTGTGAGAAGCAGAAGAGTGAGGAGGCCACAGCTGTTTTATATTTTGTAAATTGCTTCCGTTCCTTTTTTAGGGATGGGGGATAAAGCGTTTATTCATCACGCCGAATTCCGCCGTTTCCCCACATGTTTCATGTTTCATAGTAACTGTTTCATTGGAATACTACAAGTTAAGTAAATAAGAAAACGTACAACTTTATGGATAACGACTTCTGGTTTATTGAATTTATCGACGTTTCGATGTAGAGTCCCACACCGTTATCATTATTCAGATGTGAAGGAAGTTGGTTTGTGAATATTGTTTTATGATTCGTAACAAGCAAGCACGATGACACCAAACACACTGGTGGAACCCTGTCACCGAAGTTTAAGTCTGGATTATCTTACCCACGAACTGAATCTGTCAGTGCAAATGGAAAAAGGAAAAAGGAAATTCCTAACGCATCGCCGAGTACCATATCATTTCTACCAAAAATCCTCTTCATTTCTTCCGGAACCGGTAATTCGTTGTTCCTGCCGTCGATGGAACCCATGTCAGAAAAGATCCACGCAGTCATTACTTTAAGCAAGGGGCCGCTTGGTTTTCGCTGAGTGTGTCATCATGCCCTGATGGCGTGGATCCTTTAGTTACTAGTGTTACAGATTACTGTAAGCCTGGTGTAAACTCGAATATGAACTGACCACGATGGCATAGGTAGATTACGGCTGACTGCGGCATTAAACAACATTCACTCACTCATTGAGATCATAGCTGGAATATTGCAGAGTGCGGCGTTAAACAAAAAAAATCATTCGTATGGTTGAGGCTAAAGTTAAGGGGGGAAGTGGGTGTGGCACAGTGTTTGGGTTTCGTTTGGAAGATATTCTTAAGATATTTATCCCTTCATTCACAGATCATTATTTTTCAGAAAATCAGACATGTCCTCCAAACTGGGTGGCCAACAGCGATAAAAGTCAGTGCTATCTTGTGGCATCGAACTGGACCACCTGGCGAGAGGCCTCGGGGAAATGTGTCACCTTATCGGGAGATGGCTCTGGCGCCCTACTCGCTATAGACACTCAGGCGGAGAAGGTTGGTCGTTGGGGGCCTTTTTGACGCAATATCCTCTGTGGGGATTGCCTGTTCCCCAGTTCCCAATGTTTGTATACTCCGGGCTTTTTATATCTCAACTGTTTAAAAACAGGAATGAATGGCCACCACATTTGATATTTAAATAGTGCCTCCAAATTAGAATGGCTAAAACTGGCCGGTAATTAGTTAAGGAATTGAGCAAGTATTGATCGGTTGTAATAATATTTGATAGCTGCTCGTCAAGGACAGGTCAAGTTCCACGGCAAGAGAAACAGGTCAGGGCAATCAAGGCACTGCAGATTGAAAAAATATCGATTGATTTAAAAAAAGTTCAACTCGTAACTAGCATCAACAAGCGGAGATGTATGTGAGACAGGTCAAATTCGATAGCCAGGTGAAATAGTCAGAATTCAGATGTCCAGAAGAGCGACGCGTACCGCCAGATGACCACATCGAAAAAATATATAGTCCCAGAAGAAAAATTGTTGCAAGACGGGTTTTTTTGTAAAAAGAGAGAAAAAGTAGGCCCGAAGTTTCAATTAAGCAAATATACTCATCGCCAAAAGAAACGGGAACCATAGGAACATTTAGAGAAAAGTGTACGTTAATAAGAGATGTGTACCAATTAATGACAAAATTAACAATCAGTCAAGTGTTACCACAGTGTCTATTCTTATCACGATATGCTGCACATGATTTTCAAACTTTACACGCTAATCCTGCACGAGACAAATGGTGTATCTCGAGTCATGGATCTATGACGTCACATATGATGCATTTATGAGCGTCAGTTCACATTACATACCATTATGTTCGTTTGTGCATCGAACCAATCTAATATCTCTTGAATATGACAGAGGAGTAATTCGTTATACATTAACCAAAATGTATGGTATTCGAGTTTGTTTTGGCGGTGAGCGTATATGTATGTGATTTTGGAACTGTATCTGAAAAGATATCTGGTCTCCACTCAAAATCTCAGCTATATAAAAATGGTGGGTCCCTTCAATTGATCGGTGTTATAATTATAGGATTTCATCCTGGGTCAGCTGGCCATCGTGTTTACAGCACCCTTCTATTTCTGGACGGGTCTAACGGACAGTCTTCTTGAGGGCCTGTGGCAGTACAGCTCCAGCGCTGACAACACACAAACATCCCTCGGGCTGATGTAAGTATACCTCGTCATTCTATACGGAACTCAGTGACATTTATCAGTGACAATCCACACACAACACTCGGCCCTGTCACTATGTTAAAGTAAATTTTATAACCCGGAATACAACAAAGGCTCCGGATGTTTAAAAAAGCCCGGTGCCGCTTTAGATGGTTTGACTGCAAAATAACTGTCAGGGCAGGCGTGGTGAACATTAAAGATCCTGGCTGGACTATTATTACTAATTCTACAATCACTTCTCCTTACTTATTCTAACTTAATAATAATAATAATAATAATAATAATAGTGAGTGAGTGAGTGAGTATGGTTTTACGCCGCTTTTAGCAATATTCCAGCAATATCACGGCGGGGGACACCAGAAATGAGCTTCACACATTGTACCCATGTCGGGAATCGAACCCGGGTCTTCGGCGTGACGAGCGAACGCTTTAACCACTAGGCTACCCGACCGCCCCCAATAATAATAATAATAATAATAATAATAATAATAATAATAATATCCTTGAAGAGGCTGAAACTTACCACGTGGTTTGATTAACGTTGGGGCTCTTCATGATAGAATTGTTTTGTGCAGTTTTGCACATATTTATTTGTCTGATGATCCTCTTGTGAAGCATGTCAAGAATCATGATGAAAAGAAGGCATTCCACAGTTTTCTAAAACGAGCCAAGGATGTGGGACATAATCTGTATGTCGGTGTTGATTTTGTTGATGGTTCTGTACGCTGGATGGTGCAGAAATAAGTGTCAACCATGCGAAGTGCCATATCAAGTCGGACCAGACTCAGTTTTTAAAGGAGAGGCTATACGAACGACCACTGCATCGAGTTTATGTGCAGTGTGTTGAGAAGATCAGCAATCCTGCAGAGTCCTTTGCTTGGATGAAGTCGTCTGGCCTGAGACGAAACAGAAGGCTTTCTGTTTGCTGCTCAGAACCAGTCACTTCCAACTCGAAACCGCCAATGTGTGATTTTGCATCAAAATGAGAATATGAAATGTAGATTATGTAATGAATTCAATGAGACCGTCCAACACATTGTCAGTGGATGCCCAGCTTTGGCACAGACACAGTATCTTAAACGACATGATGGGGTGGCTCGATCATTTTATTACCGTCTTCTCCATGCTTGTGGTTTTGACACAGAGGTCCATCCATGGTACGACCCGAAATATGTAGAGGGCGTTATGGAAAATTATAAATATAAACTACTTTGGAATAGGCCCGTATACAGCCTCAGACATATCAAGGCCAATAAACCTGATCTTGTCCTTTTTGATAAATCCAATGAAATCCTTTATATCATTGAATTTCCTGTCCATTTTGACAGTAATATGATTGACAAGATTGAGAAAATACATGGCAAATATGCGGACCTCATTTTCGAAATGTCACGCTTGCATCTCAAGTAACAGATTGTTCGACTCCCCATTGTTCTCGGTGCCTTAGGTTTGGTACCTCCCAATCTGTTGACTGACATTGAGAGAGTACCCGGGTTTGCTACCAGGAATACAGCCCTTCTGACAATCTGGGTAATGCAGAAGGCTTCAGTGTTGGGGAGTCTTTACATTCTCCGAAAAGTTCTGGGTGGGTTCGACTAGGCAGCGCTTCCTGGGAGAAGTCCCATTCGCTGTCTGGGCTGCGTGTAGAGGGGGCAAGGGACCTGAGCTGATGAAGAGCGTTGATGTTTTTTTCAGCAAATGGAACTCGGAGCCAAACAACTGGCACCACAACGAGCACTGCGTAAGCACCGCATTCGGTGGCCGCCTCAACGACGCCACGTGTTCCCACAAGTCGGGCTACATCTGTGAGAAGTATGCTACAGGTACGTACATCTGCACAATGAACGGACGCGTTGTTTGTCTACACGTACGCACGCTGCGTCATGAAGTAATGTGTTGTTTGTCTACACGTACGCACGCGGGGTCATGAAGTAATGTGTTTTTTGTCTACACGTACGTAAGCTGCGTCATGAAGTAATGTGTTGTTTGTCTACACGTACGTATGCTGCATCATGAAGTAATGTGCTGTTTGTCTACACGTACGTATGCTGCATCATGAAGTAATGTGCTGTTTATCTACACGTACGTAAGCTGCGTCATGCAGTAATGTGTTGTTTGGCTACATGTACATAAGCTGCGTCATGAAGTAATGTGCTGTTTGTCTACACGTACGTAAGCTGCGTCATGCAGTAATGTGTTGTTTGGCTACATGTACGTAAGCTGCGTCATGAAGTAATGTGTTGTTTGGCTACGCGTACGTAAGCTGCGTCATGAAGTAATGTGTTGTTTGGCTACATGTACATAAGCTGCGTCATGAAGTAATGTGCTGTTTGTCTACACGTACGTAAGCTGCGTCATGCAGTAATGTGTTGTTTGGCTACATGTACATAAGCTGCGTCATGAAGTAATGTGCTGTTTGTCTACACGTACGTAAGCTGCGTCATGCAGTAATGTGTTGTTTGGCTACATGTACGTAAGCTGCGTCATGAAGTAATGTGTTGTTTGGCTACGCGTACGTAAGCTGCGTCATGCAGTAATGTGTTGTTTGGCTACATGTACGTAAGCTGCGTCATGAAGTAATGTGTTGTTTGGCTACGCGTACGCAAGCTGCGTCTTGAATTCAATGCTTAGTTTGGATACATTCAAAAAACTCGTCATCATCACATTCTTTGTTTAAGTAACTCTTGTCTGGATACGCTAAAAAGGAAACAGCATCGGCTGTCAGACTTCATGCATCGACAGAAAAACATAGTATATGTCATATGAACTCCAAAGGTGGTTAAAGATCGCAATATCCTTAGTTTGTTACTTGCACAATGGAACAACCTATTGCTAGACATTATTGCGTTTAATCTGTATGTTGTGACGAAGATATTTATTTCCTGATGACTTATTTATTGTGCGTTGATTAATTATACAGATTTGGTTACCTGCATTTATGATATATGAGTGAGTGAGTGAGTATGGTTTTACGCCGCTTTTAGCAATATTCCAGCAATATCACGGCGGGAGACACCTTATGATATATGATAAGTATAAGTAAATATACTACGTCAAAGCAAGAGAGGGGCGGTCGGGTAGCCTAGTGGTTAAAGCGTTCGCTCGTCACGCTGAAGACCCGGGTTCGATTCCCGACATGGATGCAATGTGTGAAGCCCATTTCAGGTGTCCCCCGCCGTGATGTTGCTCGAATATTGCTAAAAGCGGCGTAAAACCCTACTCACTCACTCAAAGCAAGAGGATACCCAGTCGACTATCCCAACAGATACCCTTGGGCGTTAACATTACATGAATGCATCCCCGAAAATCGGTGATGACACCAGGTGTTCGTGTAAAACGGTACTCATGTCCTGCTCTGCCGGTAGCACTCTACTCACTAAAGCGCCACTCAAGTCCTCATTTATAACAGTGAGTTCACTGTAGATGGGTTAGTTGTGGCCATAATCCACTTAGGTATGTGCCTTAGTTGTTAGTTTCAGTCAATAAACAACATAAACAACAAGTACATTAACATAAGAACTTCCTCAGTGAGAAATAGTATTTCGAATCTATTACCCGAGACACAACTGCCATCATTTTTCACTTATTCATTTTTCTTTCTATACCTGCCCCCGGTATTTGTGATCTCAGACTCTTGTCATAACGATGACATCATTATTGCTCACAATATCAGAGACATACTGCTGGAGGCGAAGTCAGAATTTTATTGCAAGATTCCTCAAGCCACGGGAGTCATTTCATTAAAACATTCTATGGGATACAAGAGTGTGCTTTAAACACGAACAGGGTGTCATATTTGTAACCATTTTGCATGTTTGCGGGAAGAATATTCAGAAAATAATTATATCATTGTATGTAGATATACAATGACTGGTAACTTTGAAAGAAAATTAAAATTTGTTGAGAATAGAATATAAGAATGTTGACACGTACATCTGGACACATATGGTTGTTTGTTTGGTGTTGTATTAAACGTATAGTGTCAGCACTTAAGGACAAGTAAATCTTTTAACTCATTTATTCACATATATGACATGTTACGTATATGCCTTAAGGGGACAATGTACGTGTAGCTCTACCAACGTGTACATGTACATATGTTACATTGTTACATATGTTACATATGTTACATATGTTACAAGGCTGAGGTACATGTAATTCACACACAAGTGAGTAATATTGAAAAAAGGATTACAATATTGCTACCCAATTTGTCAGATACCTGTGAAATCACAAATGCCACGGTTGAGTTCTATCCAATGCTTGTTACCCGAGTGGTAAAATGGATTAGTCCCGATCATACCCCATCTGTCAGATACCTCATGATAACATAAGACTTATTAAAGTTGTCACTGACTAAAACATGCTATTGTCTCGTTTTATGAGTGAGTGAGTGGGTGAGTATGGTTTTACGCCGCTTTTAGCAATATTCCAGCAATATCACGGCAGGGGACACCAGAAATGGGCTTCACACATTGTACCCATGCCGGGAATCGAACCCGAGTATTCGACATTACGAGCGAACGCTTTAACCACAAGGCTACCCTACCGCCCCCTTGTTTTATGAAAAGAATTTGATGTTATTAGTTAAAAGTTCATTTTGCTTTAAACACATCTTAAAATTTATTTTATGTAAAACCAAACACTTTAGACCATTATCACATTTGTGACCTAGTCACCTTGGTGTGCACTTTGGTATTGAGTCTGTAATCATGTTCTATATCAGCAAACTTTAAATAACCAGACTGCAAGTTTCAGCAGAACTAATTCTGAGATTATTTCTAACTAATTAAGATATGACATTTGACATTTAAGGTGATGTTGAAAGTTTACCTGGGTCAACTTTCTCCAAACCTGCCATGTTTGTGACCCATTCAGATATCTCTGATAATATGTACAACGTAGTAAAATCATATGAATTGAAAAAAATCAATATTCTCGTAAGAAGCTTAGATCAGATCTTACAAATTTAAGCTGTTTCATGAATAAGTGGTTCGATTGTTACATTTATACGGGTAGAAAATTAAACGATACACATAATTCTTGTATCTGAGTAAATCAAATATTTTACCCATTAACTTCAAACGTCTTTATTTAATAGTTCATAATAATGGGGATTAAATCTATTAGGACATGTCCATTACCAAAAAGGGTAAAGGTCATATGTTTTGACAAGCCTTCTCTACTCCAGTGACAGCTGGGGCATGACCTGACATACTTACCCTTTTCGTGAACACCTGGTGTCATCAGTCATGTTCAGTCATCTGGTCATGTGATTTTCACCGTTATTTTGCCTTTCACGCCCAATGGAATCTGTTTCGTCGGATAATCAAGACTGGTCATTCTCTGGCGTATTTACTTTAAATTTACAGTAAAGTCACACGGATTTGCGTTTGCTTTACATTCACAATCGTATTTTGTCGATATATCAGATGGAATTGTTTAATATATGTATTGACGACAATAATTTTTATTGCAGGCTACTCTACTGCCGGATTAATTTCCTTGCCCTTCAATAAACTGACCTTGATCTTAATGGCCATCTTGACGTTATCCATGGGACATTGACAACTACCTTCATAGGTCGCCTTGCCATATATTGCTTGTGATTGCCTAGATTGATAAACGAAATATGTAAATATTGACGGAAATCGAATACTAGTAATCGAGTAAACCCGATGTTCGTATTTTGTCGATATATCAGATGGAATTGTTTAATATATGTATTGACGACAATAATTTTTATTGCAGGCTACTCTACTGCCGGATTAATTTCCTTGCCCTTCAATAAACTGACCTTGATCTTAATGGCCATCTTGACGTTATCCATGGGACATTGACAACTACCTTCATAGGTCGCCTTGCCATATATTGCTTGTGATTGCCTAGATTGATAAACGAAATATGTAAATATTGACGGAAATCGAATACTAGTAATCGAGTAAACCCGATGTTCTTGTAAGATTCTCATACTCAGTCTAGACATGCTGACCTCTAATCCAACGATACCTGTTCTAAGACATTGGTCAGTAGCTTCCCTTAACAATTAAGACAATCACAGTTAAAGAGAACATGTTTGCCTTTGCTTAAATACGTTTTCGATGCTAGTTCTGAATTGTTTGATATTACTTGGAAGTTGATAGGCGACAAAGACAAGAAGCTTGACAACGTTATACGGATCTATTCCGAAACGTCGCCTTAACAATAATAAAGAAGTTGTTATCCATAAATTATCTCTACTTTGTGATGCTAGTTCTGTCGATGACGTTCGTTGGATTATATAAGTAACACCAAAGTCTGGGACGAGAACACGGTCTCAAGAGAGTTCATTCTTATCTTCATCAGCTTATGCTTATAGTGCCAGGATGTGCTTCAGAACCATGCACTCTTTGTGCATCTAATGGTGACAAATATAATACTTATCTACATTTATCTACATCTATCTATCTATGCTTCGTGTTTGTTTGTATTTAGCTCTGTGTGCTCATTCAGTTCATTGTTTTGAATAAATAGTTTCAATTTTAATAGTTTTACCTGGTGATATCGTCTCTTGCACCATGCACTCTTTGCAATAAAAAAAGACGAAAAATACATCTCACCATTAAAATATTGGCATCCGCGTATCAGTTAAACATTTCATGGCATCCAGCGTGCTCCACTGGGGGATCCGGGATGCCACTTATCAGGGTTCGGCATCCCGCGTCACAAGAGTGGGTTGGCACCCTCTGAGACGCCGTCGTACTCAGTACTGGGTTCTGGCAATAGACGCACCAGGGTCCGCCGATAATCCTTGTTTGTTGGAACCATACTCTCGTGGTTTTCTCCAAATTGAGAAACGTCTACGAAAAGGGATGACTTTGGGTTTCCTCCTTTCCGCCTTTCCTTTAGTTACCGGATATACTGTTCAAAGCGCTTTATCTAACTCACCGACCCTCTCATAATCGTATCTCCGTCACTGGAAAATGAACTCCAACAAAAACGGAAAAAGTGCACTTCAGAACTTTTGTTATTGGATTCATGACCCCAGGAGTTCACAATAGGGGTACTTGGAGTCTACGTAACAGGTCAACGTGTCCATGTCCGTAACCCTTAGACTCGTAGAGGTCACGCTGACTGGTCAAGGGTGAGGGACGATTTAATGGAAAGTGACTCGCGTCACAAAAACGTCTCCCTTCACGTGTCATGGCACGTCCACATGAGTGCAGTCACTTGGCCCGTGTGAATTTTATATTCGTATCACGTGACATGGGGCAATGAATCAGTCCCACATCGTTGTTGTTGACATTTACGACCGCTGTGTCTTTGTTACTTCATCATGACAAGATCCTGGTAAAACATTCGCCATGGTTTAAGAGAAGATGCACACTGTGGTTCGCATTAATATAGATAGAAGCTCAAAGGTGAAGAGTGTGTGGGTGGAGTTGGGTTTAACGTCGCTTTTAACAGTATTCCAGTTATATCACGGCGTGTCAGCTTAATGTTGGATGAAAGCCCGAAGTGATGCAGGTCTCAGACGTTTACCACTTCGGTGAAACCCAAACCTAGAAACATAATCGGGGCGAGCCTGGATTCGAACCCACAATCATAGGTTTCTGGCGTGCCCAGGGGACGCAACTCTGCACAGCGAATCGCGGCGACTTAGACGACTGGGCCACCCGTGCCCACCGAAGAGTGTGTGAGTGAGAGAGCGTACGTGTATGTATATTGTGCGTGTGCGTGTGTTTCAAGGAAGCCTGGTCGTCCATAACACTGGAATTGGCTGTTCAAAGTTGCGTAACCAAGTGACACGGGTATCTCACTCATCTGAGGCGCCGCATTCGCTGTGCAGAGTTGCATCCCTTGGACACGCCAGAAACCTATGATCGGGGGTTCGAGTCCTGGTTGGACCCGATTGTCAGCACTTTCCCCGTGCTCATTGGTTTGTCAGCAAACGGTTTCACGAAAGTGGTGAAAGGCTTGAATCTGCATCACTTCGGGCTTTTCTCCTTTAGTTCACTGACACGCCGTGATATAACTGAAATACTGTTAAAAGCGGCGTTGAACCCAACTCACTCGCCAAGGCGTGCCAGACTCAGTGGATCTTCGAGTCGAATCCCAGATGCGCCCTGGTTATGAATCTTGGTTTGCTGGCGGCATGCTCGCTCTCGCAGGTTTCACCTGGTAAACTTCGTGTTGTCACACCCACAGTAAGCCGACACGCCATGGGGGATCATTGTGGATTGCTACACTCCAGAAATGACTTTGGGTGTTTGGGTGTAAATGGTATAAGGATCCAGCTGGTACAATAGACTGCCTTGCTAACATGTATGTTTTGTTTCACAACCTTGGCATCATGGTAGTGGGTAGTATGCGTAGGCGCCGATGTGTGTTAGTCTTCTTTTCTTTCTGTGACCTTTTTACAGAATATCCTGACATATTTTACCTACGCACTCACCTCTCGTTAGCCCATAGGTAACAGGTAGGTTGATCAGGTGTCTGCTGGACATCATTTTAAACTTTTTAGTCTCTCACAAATCTGTATTGGGTGGCATAAGTAATAATTTTATGTTGTTTTATATATGTTTGTAAATTTTATACTGTATTACTGGGGTGAGACTCAAATAAACAATTGTCTGTCTGTCTCTCTGCTACACCACCACCGGCACAAATACAGCTCTTTTGAAAATATAACGTCAACGCCAGAGAATACTAGTAACCAGTCTCGAATGTCAAGCGAAACATATGTCCGACTTGATGCTTGTTGGCAACGCAGTTTTCCTTAGTCATGTGAACGTAAACATTTTTAAGAATGTACACACAACTCACAAATCAAAATGGTCTGAGCGTGCAATGTTAATGTACCCACGTTTCACTATTCCTCTTCTTTTCTTTCTGTCATTTAATGTATTAACTGTATTAAACATACACTGTAAGTTGTAGCAGGGTCACTCGGGGTAAATGGGGTTTTATGCATCCCGCGTTAGGTCTTATATTACGAGCCGAAGGCGAGTGTTATAAAACCTAAAGAGGGAGCATAAAACCCCATTTTCCCCGAGTGATCCTGCTACATCGAATTTATCTTACCGACATGTTTTAATATGACATTGTAAAATAATTCAAATAAATTCAAAATTGATAGAAAACAGCTGCTCGATTGATCTGAGGTTGGCTTGCGCTATGTCGCGTGACATCCATTTGCTCGAAAAAAGCGTGCGGCTTTTTACTTTGAAGCGGGATGTAAAGAATTTATTCTGATCCCCGCAAATGCACGTGCAACCTGTAGTGCTCGTGGCGGGGTATAAGAGATTTATTCCCCCGTTGAAAAAATTATTCCCCTCCAGGTCGTGTTACACATTATTTTATCAAAATCACGTGGACCAATCAGATCTAATCATCCTGACATGAAGGTATGATAAGTAAATTGATGATAGGGTGTTCTAAGTGGTGATAACTTGTGCCCAATCCTTTTCATGGGAATAAAATATGTTTACATTACATGAAAATCACGTGGTAAGGGTAAAGATGTCATGCCCTACCAGTAGCACCCACTACTCCCACAATTGGCCTAAAATGTATGGTGTTTGTTGGCTGACACGCACACTGGTACTCTTGCAAAGGATGGGCACATGTTTTGATAATAAGTTAAGATACAAGTGTGTCAGATTGACTTGTTATTTTGATGAAAACATATACAGTACTGAAACTATTTAGTGGTAGTGTTGTAATACGTAATAGCTAGTCGTTTGAGAGGTCTCGAAAGTGCACGTGGGTCATTTGTACTCTTGTGTCAGCTGTTTCCTTTGTCAGAGAAAAAGACGACAGGGCATCTCCAATTTATGATAGACTGCCTTTATTACCTTGTTGTCACTGGCGCTTCGAGCATTCCTCCGTAAGGCATGTAGCTCATCTTGTTTTGAATCACGCAAGCAAACCCAATAAAATCCAAAATTAGAATAGTAATAATAAATCTGACAATTTCATCTTCTTCATTTCTTCTTCTTTCGAAGAAGGTTTCTTATATTGACATGCCTTTAAATATATTGAGCATTCTCAAAATATATAGTCACTGTGACATTACCTGAAGTGCTCTCTTTTTTAATTTTGAAGTGCTGTTGGGGTGGTCGGGTAGCCTAGTGGTGAAAACGTTCGCTCGTGACGCCGAAGACCCGGGTTCGATTCCCCACATGGGAACAATGTGAAGCCCATTTCTGGTTTCCCTCGACGTGATATTGCTGGAATATTGCTTAAAGTGGCGTAAAAGCGGTCACTCCCCTACTCTCGCTGTGACATAACCTGAAGTGCTTTGTTCAGCTTACAACTTTCTGTGTTTCTCTTGCTGTGATACTAGTTTTACCTGAAGTGCTTTGTTTAACTTATCTTTCCCTTGTTTCTCTTGCTGTGATACTAGTTTTACCTGAAGTGCCTTGTTCAGCATACTTTTCTCTTGTTTCTCTTGCTGTGATATTACCTGAAGTGCTTTGTTCAGCTTACTTTTCCCTTGTTTCTCTTGCTGTGATACTAGTTTTACCTGAAGTGCTTTGTTCAGCTTATCTTTCTTTTTTTCTCTTGCTGTGATATTACCTGAAGTGTTTTGTTCAGAAAACCTTTTCTTTTTTCTCTTGCTGTGGTACCAGTTTAACCTGAAGTGCTTTGTTCAGCTTACCTTTTCCTTGTTTCTCTTGCGGTGATACTAGTTTTA